TGCGGCGGCCAGTCTACGGCCTGCGCCAGGCGCCTCGTGAGTGGCACGACACTTTGCGTGCTACCCTTGCTGACCTGCAGTTCTTTCCGTCCTCTGCAGACCCCTCGCTCTTCGTTCGTGCTGGCTCGACTCCGTTCTACATCCTCGTCTACGTAGACGACCTGGTCTTTGCCACTGCTGACAGGGACGCACTGGCCTCCGTGAAGGCAGAGCTGCTGAAGAGACACACCTGCACTGACCTTGGAGAGCTGCGCCGTTACCTTGGCTTGCAGATCTCCAGGGACAGAGCCGCGCGCACCATCACCCTGACTCAGTCACACTTGGTGCACCAGGTCCTTCAGAGGTTCGGCCTTCAGTTCTCCTCCGCACAGCCCACCCCTCTTCCTCTGGACCACAGACTCTCCGCTCCAGTTCCTGAGGAGTCGGTAGATCCCAGTGGTCCTTACGCTGAGCTAGTGGGTTGCCTCATGTACCTGATGACTTGCACTCGCCCAGATCTCGCATACCCTCTCAGCATCCTGGCTCGTTTCGTGGCCACAGGCAGGCACCGACCTCAGCACTGGTCTGCCGCTAAGAGGGTTTTGCGTTATCTTGCAAGTACATCGGGCATGGGGTTAGTGCTAGGCGGACGCAGGCCAGTGGTCCTTACTGGACACACAGACGCTTCTTGGGCAGACGACGCCGAGACGCTCAGGTCTTCCCAGGGCTACTGCTTTAGCCTTGGTTCAGGTGCTGTCTCGTGGAGAGCTACCCGCTCTTCGTCTGTTGCCCAGTCCAGCTGTGAGGCCGAGATCTACGCCGGTGCCATGGCGGCACAGGAGCTCCGCTGGCTGACCTTCTTGCTCACAGACTTAGGTGAGCGGCCTAGCTCTGCCCCGGTCCTGTACGCTGACAACAGGGCCATGATTCTCCTGTGTCAGGAGCCTCGACTCGAGGGCAGAGCGAAGCACATCCAGCTGCGGTACTTCCTCCTGCGTGAGCTACAGCAGCGTCGCCAGGCTCGCGTAGTACACTTAGCCTCCGGTGCCAACACAGCTGATATCTTTACGAAGGCGCTTGCGCCTAAAGATCATCAGCGGCACTGTGTGCAGCTTGGTCTGGTTCCTGTAGTCTCTCACTTACTCGGGCCTTGACTCTGTACTGTCCTATATATCTGTGTGTACACTCAGACTGGACTTGTGTCCTCTTACAGTGGTTGGACTAGTAGTGCCGCCCTGTACTAGTTCTTGCCTTGCCTGTACTCCTTCTGACTGGTCTTTTAGACCCTTGTCTCAGAGGCTGGACTAGTAGTGCCACCCTGAGCTGCTTGTCTAGAACATTCCCCTATGCAGTCCAGGGGGTGTGTCAAACATGTTTAGTTATCATGCTTGTATAGACTGTATAGGGTCATCTTCTAGAGAGTACAACAGTTAGATATATGTTTGTGTACTCTCTCTCTCAATTTCATCAATTTCACTGTTTGATATTCGGGGCGACTCAGGATGAGGTTGGGGCCGAATAGGTCGGCTGGGGCTGGTTTGGCGTGTGGCTTGAGGACCGAGCCTGCGGACACAAACTGTTCGCGTGTACTCGCTCAAGCGAGCCCCAGTAAGGAATGGTAATTCCTTACACTCTCCCACCTTCTGAAGGAAGGCACTCCATTTATCGAGGCAGAACAGTAATTAAATGTAATCCCCGATGTGACTGTACGTCTTCAGCCCTGTGACGAGCGTAATGATTACGCCGGCTTGACGAGGTCTTGAGGTCGAACTGAAATCGATTGTCAGAAAGCGTCGAAACGATAAAGGTACAGTAGATCCTGATCGTCGAATCTTTACGGGCGCAATGATGACGAGACTCCATGAGGTAAAATTCCATCCAACGGCTGAGACATGTCGCAGCGATCATAATCTATCGGAGTCGTTGAAGATTATCAACTTCTTCAGCTGACCGAACGGGCAATGGCGAAAACTCCCAAGTGACGAAATGATGAAGATGACCGATGATGTTAAATAGTTAACTATCGCGTGGGCGGGTTATGATGACGCGTTGCAGGATGACAATGATGATTGCCGAATGACGTGGTCAATGAAATGAAGAATCCGCTCATCAAACGCGAGGTCATTCATGTCACAAGCGAGAGCACGCGTCCGTGTTCCAAGTCAGCGAACTCCATCAACAAAGTGACGAAATTAGGTGCGGAAGCGGAACGGTGACGAATGTAGGTCGCAAATGGGTGATGGAACAGGCCGGAATGGTCAGACGAAATCTGCAGTGCAGCTGCCCTTCTCCCCCCCTCCAAGTTGAAACAACTCCCAACTTCCCAGCTAAAACTCCAGGAAACCCAATGCTCCAGGGTAGTCGAAATAATCCCACACTGCTGCTTAAAATCCCATAAATCTACTTCGAAGATGCCGCTGCAAAACTCCACCCGCGAGAAATCCCAAATACGCTCAAAAGGTGAAATTCCTCTGCAAGTAAACCGCTCCAAAGATATTGAAACTCAGAAGTAACTGCTCCGGAAGACTCCCTTACGAACTGAAAATTATGCACGAGTAGGAACACTGTTTGCGAGCTGGTCCCAACACAGCTCCAACGGTACGGTTGCAAAATCTTCTCGCTTCGATACTGCTGCTGTTGATTCGGATGGCGAGGCGAGGTCATGTTCACACAATCAGGCGAATGGAGGTGGTAGCGGGTGGTGGCGAGAGGAAGCCAACGATGTCGATGGTCTGTAACCTGTACTGAACCACTCTAGTGAAAAACCTCAAACGGAACCCGGGGTTGAATGACGCCAGCTGCTTCGGTTTCTTTGTCCGTACACGCGAAAATATTCGGGAAGAACCGAAACAGCTACAGCTCTCCCTTCGCTCCATGTACCCAGAGTACTCCGCAAAATTCGATCGATGTTGCTCGTACCCCCCATGTTAGCGGGTACTGCTCCAGCTGTAAGTCCATGAACCGCTCCAAAAAAAATGTCGGAACTCCATCAATACTTAACGAAGATTGCAACACTGCTTCGCAGCTACCCGTACGAACTGTCGAAAGCCGCGACGTCGTTTAGCAGCGCCCCCACGGTTGCTCCACCAGCTGTACGCATAAACTGAACCCTTTACATTAGGGAATACCGGAGTCCACTGCCTCGGCATGATGTTTGGGCCGTCGATCAGGGTCAATGCGCATCATACTGTACGTCGTCGATCTCCTCCGAGCTGTTACCCAACTCCATAAATTCTCCAGTACCGTTGTCCAGCTGCTCCATTAAATTTCGAAGGATTCCCCACTACAACACCCTTGCGTTTAGTAGTGCGCCGGCATTCACCCATCGTCGCACCCGCCCTGGCAGCAACTGTAGGTCATAGGCTTCGCGCCTGGACAAGTAGCATCATTAACCAGGGACTACTCCAGAAAGCTCCGCCGCACTCCGAAAATTTCGGGAACACCACTTCAAAGTCTCTCTGGTACCCCTTGACAGCTGGCCGTACTGATGTTCACCCTTCTCACGGCTGCTGCAGGTTACCCAAATCTGCTTCACTGCTGCTTAACTAACTAAGGGAATCCGCAGAGATAGGCATGCACACGCTTCTAGTCAGAGAAGCTTTAACGAGCTCGCCTACTGTCCGCTGGAAAGCTCCCCCCTCCGTCGGAAACTCGTCGAACTATACCCGCAAACTCCGGACACTCTTTCTGCTGCACCAGGTGAAACCCTTAGCTTTGCTGCAACAGTAACTCCATCAGCACAGTGTAGTTTGCAGGTTCATCCCCTTATTCAGCAAAGAACCGTCGATTAATAAGTCAACACAGCTACCTAGTGGGGATGATGATATTTGGGCGACGTAGCTGAGCGCAGCCCCAACGCCACTAACCCCTAACCACTCTAGTACTCCCGTCGTTCTTCTTCCACTGCTTCTGCTCCTGACAGTTAACGCTTTCGGGGACCGGTGGAACAACTCTTAATTCACACCCAAGGGTGGTGGCCTCCGTTTCCGTTGATCGTAAGGGTATGAATCGCTGGTCCATGAAAACGCCTCCCCACGCGGGAAGTGGCCCTCGCTGAGTACACTCACTCCAGCACATCGTCATCACCTCCAGATGGCCGTCGTGCTGAATAGCGTCGAGGTCGTTAATCCCAGCTGCTCCCACACAACTGCACACTCACACGTGCCTTGTGCGATCGCGTCGTGCCAAAATTGTCGGGGCCGCCTATTGCCGAAACAGTTTTGAAGTCACGTCAATCGTATGCAACTACAATAGCCTGCCAGAAACGCCGGTACCCGCGACACAGCTACAGTTCACCCAGCAGCCTCACGGCACGTCCAGCCATGGTCGCCACCCCGCGCGCTCCTGACGACCAACTCCCGGCCGCTTGAGGACTCCCGTGCACTTGTCTCCTCGTGACGAAGCCTTCACTTTTTTCGGAAGCCAATCCGAAGACTCCGTCACAACACCCGAAAATTACGAAAGCTCTAACGAACGTACCTGAAAAACACGGCGAACACGTCACCCATTTTTTGACCGGAAATAATTCCGTCTACGACCGGGGAAGGGGAGGACCGGCTAATCCCAACCGTCCATCAGGCAGAATCTGACGGCATCGGAAACGCCTGCGTAATTAATCTTTGCGTCGTCCGCTCGCCATTAGCATCCTTCCGCCCCTTTCCCCGATAGGGTCTGCTCCCCTACCGGAAACCTAATGGGCATGAACGTAGCTCAGATACCATCGAATTATAACTCAGAGAAGAACGCAGTATTCAATAAGGGGAACGCGATCACAGCGTGTTGATAGAAAAGAGGCCTAGGCAATATAAAGGGCGATTGACCAGGGTTGAATGTCGAGGGTTGGACCAGTTCAGGGCTCGATAGTCCCGAGGGTGATGGGGTCAAAATGGGTTCGGGGCGACTCGGGTTACAATAGGTCGGCTGGGGCTGGTTTGGTGCGTGACTTGAGGGCCAAGCCTGCGGACGCGAACTATTCGCGTGTTCTCGCTGAAGCGAGCCCCAGTAAGGAATGGTAATTCCTTATATATAATGAGTATATGGGTCCGTAGATGGATATGTGTTTTATAAAGACTCAGTAGTGTTTTTTTGTTGAACAATCCCTTCAGCTGGAGCCACTGGCCTACGCACAAAGTGAGAAAGGAACTCAACATTTCCATCCATGCCCGTTATTGGTGATGTTATCACCCCCTTCATCTCAAACCCAAATTCCTCAATTCCGCGCGTCACCCTTTCAAGAACCTGCAGCCATATCAGAAATGCACGCAACGATGACAAAAAAAGGAGATGCAGGAGAAAGAATACGAGGAGATGCATCCGAACAAAATACATGAGAGGCACAAGACCATAACTTGAGACTACACACGCACAGGTTCCACTCCACACCCACCTCTTGTCTGACTTGCTCGCTGCGCACGATGCCGCCCCCCCCCACCTGGCCACGCCGGGCCTCGAACTGCGGCTTGACGAGCACTATGAGGTGCGCACCCGGGGTCATCACCCCCACCACCGCTGGCATCACCTGTGCAGGGTGGAGGGGAGGGGAGTTGCAGGGGGAGGGGGATGCATGGAGGCATGGGCGGATAGGGATGATGGACAAAATGGGAATATGGTCAGGTCAGTGGTCACCATGTATTAGATGTGACATTCGGTAATGGAAGGATGGTGCCGATGCAATGGGGGATGGTGATGACAGCATCTAAGCGTACCAGGAGGACGGAGATGAAGGAGAGGTCGAGAGTAACTATGTCGACTTGCTCTGGCAAATCAGAGGGCGACAGGTGGCGCAGGTTGGTTCGCTCCATGACCACCACCCTCGGGTCTGTTCTGATGCGCTCACTCACCTGCCATCCCCCCCCACACACACGTACACCACACTCACACGTCAGTAAACTCCACCCGCACACACATCCACACACTCACACTCCATGCTACGCTCATCCCACGCACACTTGCAAGCAATCACAAGCTCACACACACAAGAAAAGCAGGCAGGGATGCACTTCAGAATGAGAGGGGGAACCGAGGGCAACCAGCACACCTCCATGGACGCCTCCACTGCACCTCCCACCCACCTGTCTCCCACCAGCCTGCATCTCACGTGCCCGCACCCCTCCCAGCCACGCCGCACCTGGCCGTACCCCACATCGACGCCGTACACGCGCGTGGCCCCGTGCTGCAGCAGGCAGTCCGTGAAGCCGCCTGTCGATAGCCCCGCGTCCAGCGCCACGCCGCCCGCCACCTGCACCGCCAGCTGCTGCAGCGCGCCCTCCAGCTTGTACCCCGCCCTGAGGCGATGGGGGGCGGGGGACGGTGGGGAGAAGGGAGGAGGGTGAGAGGGCATGAGGGGCGGCGATGACATGGATGCCGCCCTAAACCGCTGCAGCGCGCCCAACAGCTTGTCGCGGGGGGGAGGGGGGAGGTGGAGCGGATTCACTCATTCGTGGGTTGGAAGGAGGTGAGTGGCGCGGCGGGCTCGTGGAGGGACACAGGGGGCGGAGGGGAGGTTGCTGGAGGTTGAGGGCTCAAGACTCTAGGTTTAGGGCTCAAGGGGCGGAGGCAATATGGCGTGATGTGGCATGATGTGGCATGGTGTGGCATGGTGTGGCATGGTGTGGCGGCAGCGAGTGCACCTGCAGACGTATTTGGGCACTTGGGCTTTGATGATGACGTCAGCGTGCTCTGACACCTGCGCGCCTGCCTTTGTGACCGGATGCCCCTCCACCAGCACCTTGCCTGGTGGGGGTTAGGGGGAGGGGGAGGAAGGGGGAGGAGGAGGAGGGGAGGGAATGGTGACGTGGTCGGGAATGGGGGAAAGGGGGATGGGGGAAGAGGGATGGGGGAAAGGGGGATGGGGGAAGAGGGATGGGGGAAAGGGGGATGGGGGGAAGAGGGAGGTGGGCCGCAACAAAGGAGGAATGGACAGATCAGCCGAGATGTTATCCCACCTTGCCCAAGCCCCACCTTGCAGGATCCACGAGCGCACTTGGCTGCGGCTGTACTGCGCCCATCGCGCCACGCACAGCTCGTCCAGCCGCACGCGCTTGCCCCTCCTCCGCGCCCCGCCCTTCCCGCCTCCCCTTCCGCCACCGTCACTCCTCCCCACCTCCGCCTCCCCGCCTCTATCCCCGCCACCAACCATGCCTTGGCCCACGCCGTCGCCCTCATCTGCTGCTTCCGCCGCATTCGGCGCATCTCCCCTCGCCTCCCCGCGCCCCACCTCCTCCCCTCCCCTCTCTCCCTGCCCCTCCGCAACCTCCTCTGCTGCTCCCGCACCTCCGCTCACCGCCTGTGCCCGTAACACCGCCCGCGCGCATTGAATCTCCGGCAATCGATTCCGCCTGCAGTCCGCATGCCCTGCCGCGGGGGAAGGCCAGAGGAGGGCGGAAGAGAAACTGCGGAGAGCTGCGCGTGGGGGGGCGTGGCGGAGGATAGGGGGAGCAGCGGAGGAGCGAGGCGGGGACTGCAGCGATACGGGGAGCGGGAATGGAGGGCGCGCGGCCATAAGGGGCGCAAGATAACCAGCAGGCGGCATCGGAGAAGGGGGGACGCAGCGACGGGGATGGTGCCACGTGCGCCGCGCGGCGTGAAGGCGGGCGAGCAGTGCCTCGCGAAGGGGGGAAGCGCGCAGAGAGCAGGGAGGTGGAGTGAAGACAGGGAAGCGAGGCCGACGGAAGCGAGGCAGCAGCAGCATGACAGGTCGCACGCCGGTGGGATGCGGGAGAGGGGCTTGTGGGCTGTCACAAGGGCTGTGGAGGTGGGCAGGCAGCAGCTCCCCATGTGCGGGTTTCTTATGGTTGTGAGAAATTGATTCGAGTCAATTTTAACTTCTGTCGAGCGTAAACGAGAGAGTTTTGGTAACGAGTGCAGTACAATCGGGGATAGCCCAGAAGGCGCAATTCAAGATTCGAATCTAGAGATCCGCGTGCATCGAACTCGCCCCTCGCATTCTTTCACAGTCATCCTCCTCTGCCCATCCCGTTTCCCCCATCCACTGTTCGCCTCGCCTTCCGTCAATGCTCGCTCTCTCCAGCAAGCCTTTAGCCCCGCCTCCCTCACTCGCACCGCAGACCCCCCCTCTCGCCTCCACAACCGCACATCGCGTCTCCTTCCGCCGATTATTCGTCGCACTTCCGCCATCCACGTGTCACCGTCGAGCAGCGCCTCTCATGGCAGCCACAGCGCCGTCGGCGGTGCCGGCTATCCGTCTGTCGAGCGGCTACGACATGCCGGTGGTGGGGATGGGCGTGTGGCGCGCGGACAAGGGCCGGCTCGGCGCGCTTATCAAGGAGGCCGTGCGGCTCGGATACCGCCACTTCGACTGCGCTGGTCCGTCTATAGCCCGATCCAGGGGGGGGAAGCACGTCATCAGGATAAAGCGGTACAGCGCGAGCTCAGCGCGCTTCAGTCGTTGCACTTTGCCCAATCTCAGCCCCACTCTTCCTCTCTTCTCTCGCCCACCCTCGCCGTTTCACCCTTTCCCGCCCCCCCTCAGCGGACTACGGCAACGAGGCGGAGGTGGGGGAGGCGCTATCTGCGGTGCTGGCGGAGGGGGCGGTGAGGCGCGAGGAGCTGTTCGTGACAAGCAAGCTGTGGAACAGCGACCACGCGCACGTGCGGGCGGCGTGCGAGCAGTCGATTAAAGACCTCCGCGTGGGGTACCTGGACCTGTACCTCGTGCACTTCCCCATCGCCACCAAACACACCGGTGAGGCGGCTGACGGCTCATGCTGAAGAGTGCTTGGAGGGTAATGGGGTGGGGGGGGGGGGGAAGGGGAGGGGGGGGTGCATGGGCAGAGAGGGGGAAGGGCGGGAGCGAAAGGGGGAGCGGGGATGAAAGATGAGCGATGGAAGAGGACAGAACTGCGTGATCGTGATGATGTGCGAGTCAGAGCTGCATGCCAACTGCCAAAACTCAGCCGTGGTCCTCCCTATGTCCCACGCTTCTCTACATGGCATGGCATGGCATGGCATGGCATGGCATGGCATGGCAGGCATTGGCAGCACGAGCAGTGCGATGGCGGCAGATGGCATGCTGGACATGGACATCTCAGTGCCGCTGCACACCGTGTGGTCGCACATGGAGGCGCTCGTGGCCGATGGGCTCGTGCGCTCCATCGGCATCAGGTGAGGGGGGCATGGGTCGTGCCACGGGCATCGAGCATCTCACTCAGGCGTCTCTCATAGATTAAAGGGTGCCAGTCTTGCATTTCTCCTTTCGTCCTTCATTCCCACTCCTCCCCATCCGTCATCCCAGGGATCACATATCCTCCTCTCCGTCTCTCTGCATCCCTTCAAATCCCTCCCCTCCTCCCCTCCTCCCCCCTCCCCCCTCTCCCTCTCCTCTCTAACCTCCCCCAACCTCCCGGCACGCAGCAACTACGACGTCTACCTTACCCGTGACTGCCTGGCGTACGCCAGCCGCGTGAAGCCAGCAGTGAACCAGGTGGAGACGCACCCCTACTTCCAGCGCCCCTCGCTGCTCCAGTTCTGCTCCAAGTTCGGCGTGACGGTGACGGCCCACACGCCCCTGGGAGGGGGGGCTGCCAACGAGGAGCTTTTCCACTCCAAGTCCCCCCTCTCCGACCCCCTTGTGCTGGTGCGTGCCTCGGCTCACACACCAGTTTCATCTCTGCTCTTGTCATGGGTTGAAATGGGATCCCCTAAAGCTGAAAGATGTGCTTTCAACCGGGTTGATATGTGTTGCATGTGCTGCTCACCCGCCCAATGCTACCAGGAGCTGGCTGAGAAGCACAAGAAGACAGCGGCACAGGTGGTGCTGCGGTGGGGCACGCAACGCAACACGGTGGTCATTCCCAAGTCCAATCGCGAGGACCGCCTCGCCGAGAACATTGCGATATTTGACTTCGAGCTGGACGCTGATGATATGAAGAGGATGGAGGCCCTTGATGCCAAGGCTAGGAGCAACAACCCGGCTTCGTTTTGGGGCATTGATCTGTATGCATAATTGATTTGTAATGAAGTCATACCGTATATATTCGCATGCTCGACGATTTAGCATCTAACCAATGATTGCCCTGTGCTTGTATGACGCTTCCTTCTCGTTCACAATCGAGTATGTCCGCGATTCTACGCAATCCGCCTCCCACTTTCCGATGAGTCAGCGGAAGCTGGGAGTGAAATATTCAGTGCAATCGTCAGCATAAAATTTGACGTCAGCTGGCGAAATCGACGGTCATACACGGTCTTGAGATATCCAACGATTCAAAATGTGCCAAGGTAATGGAAAGTGAACCTCGCCAAAAGTGCGTCTCGCTAACGCGACTTCGCATTCCTCCACAACCTGCTGCAGTCCTTATAAATGCGGCAGAATATCCCCTTCACAAAATCCGCCCCTCAGATCAACTGGTCTTTCCAGTTCCTTCAGCTTTCCCCTTCAAGCAACAGGGTGGGCATTCCCCCTCAACCCGTTCGTAGTAGTCCATCGAGTCAGAATGGAGACTCTCACAGCCTCTGCGCTGCGCGTCCCCGCGCTCTCCCCGGCGCCATCGCATGAGATCAGCTCGCGCGCGTTCCTTGCTGGTCACCCTGTCGCCGCCCCCGTCGTTCGCTCTCGCATCGCCGCTAAAGCCGCCGCATTGCGCGGGCTGAGCGTGCGCGCGGAGAGCGGCGCGACGGAGACGGAGGGGTCTGCGACGGGTGCGGCGGGCGAGGGCAAGGCGCTGAACCGATGGAGCTCGCGCATCACCCAGCCCAAGTCGCAGGGCGCGTCGCAGGCGATGCTGTACGGCGTGGGGCTCACCGAGGCCGACATGCACAAGGCGCAGGTGAGAGGGGGGGCAGGGGGGAGGGGGAAGGGGGGAGGGGGACGGGAGGAGGAGAGGCAGAAGAAGGCAGAAAAGCCGACTGGCCCACGGGGTCTACCTAAACCCCGCTTATCCCCGCCACCGCGCTTCGCTAATAGGCGCCCTTTTAGCGCCCATTTCGCGTTGCGACATTCCTCGCGCTATGAGCCCCGGGATTATGCTGGTCACGAGCCACGCCACCGCTGCCCGTCTCATCACCACCACCACGACCGCCGCCTCCATGCCATTATCCTTCTCCCACCACGTCGTCTCCCCCTCCCCCTCTCTTCTCCCCCACTCCCCCCTGCAGATCGGCATCTCGTCGGTGTGGTACGAGGGCAACACGTGCAACATGCACCTGCTGCAGCTGGCGGAGGCGGTGAAGGAGGGCGTGACCGAGGCGGGGCTGGTGGGGTTCCGGTTCAACACGATCGGCGTGAGCGACGGCATCTCCATGGGCACGGACGGCATGAGCTACAGCCTGCAGTCCAGGGACCTCATCGCCGACAGCATCGAGACCGTCATGGCCGCGCAGTGGTACGACGCCAACATCTCCATCCCCGGCTGCGATAAAAACGTGAGTCGCTGGGGGGCGGGACGATAAGAACGTGAGTCAATGGGGGGCGGGGATGGGCGTCGCTGGTGTTGCGGACAGTGCTGGGAGTGATGTGGTGACAAAACGTTGTGGGAGAGTTAGCCAGGGTAGCCAGGGCAAGCATGCTCCATGCAGTTCAGTTTGGTGCAATGTAGTGCTCCCATGCGCCATGGCATGTGATAGGTCACACTCCATCCCATAATCAATGCCATCAAGCCATCCCATATCATGCCATGCCATGCCATACCATGCCATTCCCCCCCATCAGATGCCCGGCACGGTGATGGCCATGGCGAGGCTCAACCGACCAGCTATCATGATCTATGGCGGCACCATCAAGGTAGGATGGTCCACTAATTTGCCCATTTTCGTAATTTGTTTGGCTGTGGTTTAGCCATGAATGTGCATCTCATCTCCGGCACTCTTCCCCATGCTCACCCTCCAACTTCACCTCCTCAAGCTCCCGGTCAACCCTCTCCCCTATTCCCCCCACCTCTTCCCCCCCCATTCCCCGTGCGCCCTCACACACCTGCACATCACACCACCGCCACCTGCAGCCGGGGCATTTCGAGGGAGCCACTCTCGACATCGTCAACGCCTTCCAGGTATCCCCCGCCTCTATATCCCTTCGCCCCACGCCTCCACTTGCTTTTCTATTCTGCTGTCTGCCTCCCCTGCCCTCACCCCTTGATCCCGTCTCTCCCTCACCCCCACCCTTTCCCCCCCTCCTCTTCCCCCCCCCACCACCACGTTCAGAGCTACGGCGAGTACGTGGCGGGGCGCATAACGGAGGAGCAGCGGCAGCAGGTGGTGCGGTACTCGTGTCCGGGGCAGGGCGCGTGCGGCGGCATGTACACCGCCAACACCATGGCGTCCGCCATCGAGGCGCTGGGGCTCACGCTGCCCTACAGGTGCGCAAAAGGGGGCCCTATGCTAGGTGCACGTGGAGGCAGGGTGGGTGGGTGAGAGGTGGACGTGTGTAGGGTAGCAGTGAGAGAGTGCAACTTCCGCTTCCTCCACCCACTGCCGCACTCCATCCCTCACCCCCTCGTGCTGCTGCGTCCTCGTCCTCTGCCGCCCCCCACCAGTTCGTCCATCCCGGCGGAGGATCCGCTGAAGATGGACGAGTGCCGGCTGGCGGGCAAGGCCATCCGCCACCTGCTGGAGCTGGACCTGAGGCCGCGGGACATCATCACACGCAAGGCGCTGGAGAACGCCATCACCACCGTCATCGCCCTGGGGGGCTCCACCAACGCCGTGCTGCACCTCATCGCCATCGCCAGGTACCCCTCTGCACCGCATTGCCGTCGCTGGGTGATTGGGATGTGAGAGACAGAGGTGGGACGAGGGATTGAAATGGGAAGATTATGACCTGCTGTTGCTGGCCTCGCTGTGGCGCATGAGCAGAAGCTGCAGGGCGCCCACCACTGCCAGCCATGCGTGCTCTTCGTTCCCACCACCAATTCCTCTCTCCCTCAACACCCCACCCCCCATCCCTCCTGCCCTCAGGGCGGTGGATGTGACTCTGACCCTCGACGACTTCCAGGTCATCAGCGACCGCGTGCCGTTCATCGCTGACCTCAAGCCCAGCGGCAAATACGTCATGGAGGACGTGCACAAGGTACACAGGGGTGCAGAGGCGTGCACAGGGGTGAAGAGGGGTGGGTGAAGTTCACCTGCACAGGAGGTTTGCTTTACAGGTTTGCAGGCCTCACTCACATGCATGGCGAGCTCACTCACTTCCATCCCTTCCGCACCCATGCATCCTCAAAGCACCCATGCATCCTCAAAGCACCCATGCATCCTCAAAGCACCCATGCATCCTCAAAGCACCCATTTTCTCCGCACCTCTGCCCCTGCGCTATCCGCTTTACCCCTCCTCCCCCATGCAGATCGGCGGTACGCCAGCGGTGCTCAAGTACCTGCTGGAGAAGGGGCTGCTGCACGGCGACTGCATGACCGGTGGGTGGGGGGGGAGGGGGGTGCATAGTGACAGGATAAGGCGTGGGTTGAAGGGGGCAGTGGAGCAGTGCTGCAGTCTGTCTGTTGTCACGCACAAGTCCTTCGTTACTCTCCTCTCCCGTCTCACCCTCACGCATTGCTCGTCTGCTGCATTGCCCATTGCCCATTGCCCATTGCCCATTGCCCATTGCCCATTGCCGTCCGTGCAGTGACGGGGAAGACCCTCGCAGAGAACCTCGCCTCCGTGCCGCCCCTCTCCCCCACCCAGGTATCGACCCCCTCAGCCCCGCCCTCCCACTCTCCTTCACCATCCCCTTGCTCCCTCCTTCAGCTTCCCCCAAGTTGGTGTCTCGGGTGCGGCCTATCCAAGTGCACGCGCGCTTCCCTCTCTTCCCCTTCTATGTACACGTGGCAGGATGTCATTCGCCCAGTAGAAGAGCCCATCAAGCAGACCGGCCACTTGCAGGTGAGCCGTGCCATCTTGACAGCTGGCGCTGTCTCGCCACACCTGTCGCCGTCCTATTGTCTCCCTATTCTGCACGGCCCACCTCCGTTGCGTCCCATCCTCGCGCCTCTCCCATTCCCCATTCCCCTCCCGCGCTTATCCTCTCTTCCCTGTGCGCCGCACTCCCCCCCCGCCAACAGATTCTGTACGGCAATCTGGCACCTGAGGGGTCGGTGGCTAAGATCACGGGCAAGGAGGGGCTCTACTTCCAAGGTGGGGGGAGAGGGTGGGGGGAGTATGTTGGGAACTGTGGGGTTTTTGGCTGGTGACCCCATCCCTCACTGTCTGCTGCGCAAGTCACACTGTCAGCCTCCCATTCACTGGTCCATGCATTCCGCATGCCGTCACCTATGCCCCCTCCCCCCCCCTCCCCCTCTCCCCCAGGGCCAGCGCTGGTGTTTGAGGGCGAGGAGGCGATGCTGGAGGCGCTGTCAGCCGACCCCAACAGCTTCAAGGTAGAGCCCCACCCCAGCTCTACTCCACTTCTTTTCTCTCTGTCCACCCCGCCTTCCTCACCGCTCCCAATTCACCCCCACGTTACACACCTTGCAACTCTGTCCTCCCCTCCCCTCCCCTCCCCACCCGTCCCTTCCCCCCCTTCTCCCGTCTCCCCCCCGCTCCCCCACTTCCCCAGGGCACGGTGGTGGTGATCCGAGGCGAGGGCCCCAAGGGCGGGCCGGGCATGCCGGAGATGCTCACACCCACCTCCGCCATCATGGGCGCGGGGCTGGGGAAGGTGCGATGGGGGGGAGTTTGGGGAAGTGAGGAGTGTGGATGTGCATTGTCATGGATATGGGCCACGGACATGCAGGCATGCTTATAGCTTCATGGGCATGTGTGTGCGTGCAGTTGGGTGCGTGAGCATGCATGAGCGATTTCTTTAATGTCTGAGGATTCTGCACCTTTGACGCTGCTCTCCTCTCACTTCTCTGCCATCCCTGCTCTGCCCGCACCTCTCTCACCATCGCCAGGAGGTGGCTCTGCTGACGGACGGTCGTTTCTCCGGTGGCTCCCACGGCTTCGTGGTCGGCCACATCTGCCCCGAGGCCCAGGTACACACAGCACCTGCTCATTGCCTGGCTGCTCATTGCCCGGCTGCTCTTGTTTCTCCTCGTTGACTCACGCACGGCCCGCCTCCCGTGCGTCCCATCCTTGCCCATCTACTTTCCTTTTCTCCGATCAGCTTGCCGCCCATCCCTCTCACCCCCAAGCGCACTCCTGCTAACCGTCTGACTCTCCTCGCTCGGGTTCCCCCCCTCCTCTGCGACTAGGTGGGCGGGCCCATCGGGCTGGTGCAGAGCGGGGACGTGATCACGATCGACGTGGAGAAGCGCGCCATGGACATGGCGGTGAGCGAGGACGAGCTGCAGCGCCGCCGCGCCAACTGGGTGGCGCCGCCGCTCAAGGCCACGCGGGGGACCCTCTACAAGGTGCGTGCGTGTGCGTGTGCGTGTGCGTGCGGGCATGGGAGGGATGGAAGGGAGGAAGGGGAGAGGTGGGGGGCAGCATGGGAATGGGAGTGAGTGAGAGCAGGTGCAGAGGTCCCAAGTGGCGAGGATTGTTGTGCACACATGGGGGGGGAAACACTTAGCGCCATGTGATGTGACAGTCAGGAGCACGGCCATCTCATGTCCCGCGTACACGTACCTTGCTCTGTGCTCTTTGTCGCCTCCCTGGCAGTACATCAAGACGGTCAAGTCGGCCTCTGAGGGCTGCGTCACTGACGAGTAGATGCACACCTGCTTGCTCGCTGTTCCTGCCAGCTAGACCAGTACGGGCCAGTGGGGGAATTTGAGTTGTGGGGTGGCATGGTTCAGAAAGGCCTTGGTGTAGATGCAACTTGGGGACAGACAAGTGTGACAGACAAGATTGTGTCAATTATAGTGTGCGTTTTTGAGTACAAAACTGGTACCTTTCTACATGGGGACAGGTGTTTGGGCTGTACCTAGATTTATACTAAACCAGCACAAGGCTTCTACCACACCACCTGAGGGCCCATGCTTCCAGGGTTGACTTTCTTTGCCTGTCAGGCAGAGTGGGCGTTAACACTCCTGTGGTTACCCCGTGCATCACAACAAGTCCAGCATAGCGCCTCCGGATTGGGGGGGGCAGCGGGGCGTTGAGGGGGAGTGAAGCCCCCCACCATGCCCACAGAAGCAGGGGGGGCAGGGAAGCCTTGCGAGGGGGGGGGAGCAAAGCGCATGCCGCCATACACAGCACCAGCAGCAGCAGGGGGAGCAACCATAGCAGCCATGGGAGCCATGGGAGCAGTGGGGAAGGCCCCAAACCCTGGAGCCATGCCACCACCACCCATAGGCCGGGCCATGCCCATTCCCATGCCCGCTCCCATACCTCCGCCCATGCCCATGCCCATGCCTGCTCCTGCCATGCCCCCCATGCCCGTGGCAGCGGCAGGTGGCTGGGCGGCAGACTGGAAGGAGCTGCCGCCCCAGTCGTCCATGTCCAGCGGCCCACTGGCCTTGGACACTCCGCCCAGGGGACGCGCTGGAGCACCCATTGCTGCCGCTGCTGCTGGTGCTGCTGCCATGGACCCCTGTCCTGCCTGCGGTTTTCTGGGAGGCCAGTCAGCGAAGGGGTCATTGGGGTCTGACTGCAGCGACACAGAGCCCATGCCACTCATACCACTCCCTCCTGCTCCTCCTGCTGCGCTTCCTCCCAGACCCCCACCGAACCCTGTGCCTCCTCCTAGCCCTCCTCCCAGTGACCCTCCCATAGATGGTGCCCCTAGCCCCCCTCCCATGCCCATGCCAACAACCCCCATACCGCCACCGCCTATGCCACTGCTGCCACCAATGCCACCTCCCCCTATGCCCCCCAAACCACCCCCGCCAATGCCCCCTATACCACCTGCGGGCTTGGCAGCCAGGGAAGCGAGACTGGAGGAAGGTGCAGCGGGGAGAGAGGAGGAGGCGAAGGGGTCAGAGGCACCGAAGGCGGGCGAGGCGGAGGGCGTGGAGGACATGGGGGGGGCAGAGGCAAAGGGGTCAGGGAAGGAGGGGGCGGAGGAGGAGGGGGGAGCGGAGGAGGCAGGTGCCTTGGACCAGTCTGGTTGCGAGTCCCATGCAGGCTTGGCGCTGATTTGGGGGGGGGGGAGGAAGAGAGGAGGAAATGCGATTTTTTGGGGGAGCAAGTGGGGATCGGGAGGGAGAGGGGAGGACTGGAAGGGCAAAGCAACGGTGACAGCTCACCTTTGAGCTCCGTTTAAAGGGGGAGAGGCATCTCTGACCTGTCATCGAAGGCGACCGTGGCGTCTGAGGGGGTGGAGATGCCCATGGAGGCGAGGTCGAGCGATATGGAGTCCGCCTCACTCAAACTCACTCCGCGCTTGTCCTGGATCTTGCTGCGTGGGGCATGAAGTAGTGACGGCATGGCGCATGGGGCATGCGTAATGCGGCACAGGATAAAGGAGGTTGGGAGAGGAGGGTAGGAGCACACACAGGAAGGCAGAATCTGATAAGAAACGACTCAGAGAGGGAAAGAAACAAGCAGGCAGCAAGAGTGTGTGTGTGCGGCATGAGAGCGAAATTGCAGTGTGCGTGAGCAATCAGGCAGGCAGGGGGAATCAGGCAGCAGGCTTGGGCAATCAGGCAGGGGGAGTGTGTGAGTGGGAGGGGAGGGGCAGCAGCGTACGTGAGGACGTCCATGATGAGTTTGAGGAAGCGAGCGAACTGCGGGCCGGTGAGCTGCTGCACCACCAGCATGGGGCACAGCAGCGGCAGGATGTGCTCCGCCGCGAACTCGATGCCGTACTGCCATGGGCGGGAGGCAATGCCAGGGGCGGAGGCAATGCCGGGGACACCTCATTTCGACCCCAAAAGCCTATGCCTAGGTAACAGCTCTTCTTGGGGATATCGAGCGATGGGAACGCAGCAACGGAAGGAGTGAGAACATGCAACAGGCACAAAACAGTCAGCCCCAACACGGACCTGCCTCTGAATGATGTCAGCGATGCCGACGATGCACATGAGTGTGGGCGGCGAGCGGTCGACAGCAGCGCAGCGCACGCACGTCTGCAGGATGTCCATCACGGCCGCCTTGTCCAGGTTGGGGATCAGGTCGCCCAGACAGATCAGCGCCTGCACCCGCACCTGGTGGCGGCGCGAGGTAACGAGGGAGATGGAAGACAGGGAACAGGAGACGCACAGTTAGGGGGAGGCAAGGGGCGAACGACGGGAGCGGAGGAAAGGAAGAGAGTTAGAGGAGACGGCAAGGTTGGGGGGATGGGGCAGGGGAACTGCGGTCCAGAGGAGCGAGAGAGTGGAAAAGGAAGGGAAGGAGGCGACATACGGCAGCAACGGAGGTGCGGAGGGCGAGCATGTGCACGCGCGGCATGATGATGGAGCGCACGATCTCGAAGTCCAGCGACTGCACCAGCACCGCCGACCGCCGCAGCGTCTCCTCCTGCAGCCGCGGGTCTGGGTCCTCGTAGGCGCGCACGATCATGGGCAGCACGTGCGACATCAGCACCGCGGGGGACACCTGGCAGGAAAGGCGGGCGGTGCGGGAGGGCGATTCAGCAAGTGGAGGGCGCAGAAGGAGTTTCGTCCTTCACCACTCGTAGACATGCACGATCATGGGCGCACGTGCGGCCTCACTAGTGCACGCTCGTCTCACTAGTGCACGCTCGTCTCACTAGTGCACGCTCGTCTCACTGGAGCCCGCCTTGGCAACCTGGACATACCTTGGGTTGGCATGGGAAGGCATGGGAAGGCATGGGAAGGCATGGGAAGGCATGGAAATAGAGAGGGGAACGGGTGTGCACCTTGCTGACGAGGGCGGGGAGGTGCTTCATGAAGAGCAGCAGCACGTCGCCCCCCGCGTGCTCCATGGCCGGCAGCAGCAGCGTCTGCGTGCGCAGCTCAAAGTCCTGCGCGTCCTGCGCCTCCGCCACCTCGAGCACCCAGGGCAGCGCGAGCAGCTGCGTGGCGGGGTTCTTGAGCTCCTCCAGCAGCGCGGGCAGCACCTTGAAGCGCAGCACGCGCGAGTCAAAGCCCGCCCAGATGGACGCCAGCGACTTCAGGAACTCCACCCGCGCGTTGTTGTCCCGTCCCTGGTGGCGTGCAGGGCGGGCAGATGGGTCACGGTGAGCAGGAGGAAGAGGTAAGAGCAGCGGCGAGAGAAGGTAGGGATGTGAGAGGAAGCTGTGTTGTCCTCAGTGACGTGGTTAGCTTGCGGGATGAATACAGTTGACGGCACAGAAGGGAAGAGAAAGAGCGGAGTAGCAGCAAGGGGGCAATGCATGACTAAGGAGTGCCAACCATACAATCATTTGGTCGAGGAATCTGAGTGCTCTCAGGCGCATGTCCTCAGTGAAGAAGGGCGACGCGGCGAACTCTGAGGCGGTGGGGCGGGCGGCTGGTTCAGGGGCGAGCATGCGGCGCAGGTCGGTCTCGAGGTCCATGGGGATGCCCGCCAGCGACTCGCTCCGCAGCCCCGCCACGCGGTTGTTGTACTGCACGCATGCGGGGGGTGGATGGGGGGAGGGGGGAAGGCGGAGAGGAGGATTGTGATGGCACAGGATGCCCTCTGGTGCAACACAGAGCAGGGTAGGTGGGAGCAGCAGAATGGGAGCGCAGAGAAGGGGGGCAGGCAAGCGATGAATGCACTCCTGTCTAGCTTTCTGTCTCCCAGGATGCACAGCTGCCCCGGTGTGCTCACGGTGCGCAGGTTGTTGTTGGCGTGGATGAGGCGGCGCCGCGCGATGAGCTGGAAGGCCAGCAGCGCCAGCGAGAACACGTCCACGCTCGCCCGCGCGTCCTTGGACGCCGAAGTGGAGGCTCGGTTGATGGTGGCTCGGCGCGTCAGCTCCGGTGCCACGTAGTCCAGCAGCGGCTGCAGCGGCAGCACCTGGTCGTCCACGTCAAAGTCCTGCACGGAGGGGCGGAGGGATGGTGGGAGCGAGGTGAGATGATGGGTGCGAGGATGATTGGTGCACGCATGATGGCAGAAAGAGCGGTTGAAGAGAGCAAAAATAGGGGATGGGTGCAAAGGGTAGAGAGTGAGAAAGGGGAACCAAAGCGCGCTGCATTCTTGCAGTCCACACTATGATTCCTCCCTCCGCAGGGCTCCCTTCACAACCCACGGGCTCTTTCCACAATCCTGGACCTCTAGCACTGACCGGGTCGAGTGAGAAGCACTCACGGGGTAGAGGAAGGCGGGCTCATCGGGGTCGGGCTGGTCGTCAGCGGGCACGGAGAAGCCAAAGCCGGCCAGCTTCCACCCGCCGTTCTTGGTGATGAACACCGTCTGCCGTCAGTGACGGGTGCACGAGGGAGGGGAGTCATGCGCCAAGGGCAAGATCAGCACCACAGCGAGCACACATCATTTCATACACACCGCAGAGGGACCCTAGAGAGTATCTAACTTGCCATCAATGATAAGCTAGAATTAACGAGTGAAGGTAGGCTTGCCAGCAGCGGCAGTGGGCGTGCCTCACACTCGGTGCATTACAGAAGCGTCAGCCAGGGCATGTCAGCGTTGATGCCTCATCTCTGGCCAACGCACCTGTGGGTTTGCGAGACACACGAGGAGCAGCAGTGAGTGCCCCTCTGGGTTGATGCCTCTGGGTTCGAACGCACCTGTGGGTTGGGACGCACCTGTGGGTATGAGAGACACACGAGGAGCAGCGAGAACGCACCTCGGGGTTGATGCCGCGGTGGATGATGTTGGCGTTGCGGTGGATGAAGCTCAGCGTCTCCGCCAGCTGCATCAGCCCGTGCTTTATCTCCAGCTGCCCCAACTCCTGAGAACGTCATAGCAGCCAATGGCGTGGACACACGCATGCACACATTGTCACATATGCATTAGAGCCACTTTCGTGTCAGATGCAGGAGAAAATACAAGCTCAAAGAACGAATTCTGCATCGTGACCCCCTCCCACACCCCCTCCCTCCACACCCTCTCCCCCCTTCTAACCCCAGCAGACTTCCTAGCGACCAGCCCTGCTCATCTCACACCAACATGCAGCCTCCCTGAACAACCCCCCTCTCCCCCCTCTCCTCCCCCCCCCGAACAACCTCCCCTGAACAGCCCCCCCTCTTCCCCCCCCTCCCCCCCCTTCCCCTCCTCTCCCTCTCCGCCCCCTCCCCACCCCACCAGTTTCTCGAGCTCGTGAGGGATGGTGGCGAGGTTCTCGAGGTTGCCGAGGGCGTTGCCGAGGGAGGAGAAGACGGGTTCGGTGACCATGGCCATGGCCCACTTGCTCTCGTCCAGCGCCTCCACCACGCGCACGATGCCCGGGTGCCGCAGCTTCTGCAGCACCTTCGCGTCCGCGCGGAAGATGTCCAGCAGCCGATCCTCCGCCGCCTTGCTGTGGGCGCGCGGGGGGGCGGGGAGTGGGGAAAGAGAGTGCGGGGGGAGTGGGGGAACAGAATGCGCGGGGAAGTGGGGGAACAGAGTGTGCCGGGAGCCGGGAACGAAACCACAGAGCGCGGAGACGGGAAAGGGGTTGCTGCGGATGCGTCTCCAAGGTCGGAAGGGACGGTGGGAAGCAAAATATGCATCGCCATCCAAAATATGCTCTCACGAGCACAAACGCATCTACCCTGCTCCCCTGTGCCCCCGTTCCCCGCGTCCCACCCCCCCCTCCCCCCACGGACCTCATGCCGCGGTGCGAGCGCTCCTCCGAGAGCTCCTTCTTGTCGAGGAACCACACGCACACCTCCGACGTCACCGTCTGCTGCGCCTTGCTCTTGGGCGTCGCGCGGTACAGCTTCCACAGCATGCCCGGCCCGCCCGACCCGATCTGCCCACGCCCCAGGCGCACCGCATGCAACGCATTGTCAGGCAAATCTGCCTAGGGCTAAACGACGAGCAATTTATTTAACAATAGATTCGGCAAGTCTCAACACGGACCAAGGGCGGCGAACGCACCTGCTCGCCGAGGTCATAGTCAGCTAGCGCCTTGGGCCCTGTGACCTCCTGTACCGTGCTCTGAAACGCCAGGGCAACAGATTAAGGGAGGTGCATATCCACGCATTCAGCATTGATGCCTCAGCAGTTAACCCTAACCAGCGCACTTCACCTACTCCGCTTCGCTGCTGACGTCAGAACCATGCATAAAAAGAAATGGCGAGACAAAGAGGAGGCCCCAACACACCTGGACCGTCTTCTCAATCGAAGCGGCGGTGCTCGCGAGGATCTTAGAGAACCCCGACAACATTTTGGCATACGATATCCGATCGCCTCTCTGTCAACTCGATGATCTAGTTCGAACGGGATAGTCCTGCTCAGCAGAAGGTCCCGTCCATTGACCGCTCGCCTTCACCAATCGCTGAATGCGATCAACTACGGATCAAGCATTCGAGAGTGAACGCAGAGAACGATACCGTTGGCCAGTCCCGCTATGGTTTAGTGATTAAGCCGAGGCCTTCGTTGCAGGAAGTATAGGACGGCTAAGCGCTAGTTAGACCTGCCAGCACACTACCATCCAACCTGCTGGTCTTAGGGCGTGTCCAGCGCGTACGTTTGATTGCGGTTGGGTAAGGTGCCTCACGGATCAGAAGGATTGATAATAAATCTATAACGGTTTGTAAGGGTTTTGACAAAAAACGTACGCGCTGGACACGCCCTTAGTGATGTGAACCAGTCTCCTATGGCCTGGACACACGGAATGGATGGAATGGAACGGAATGTCGTCAAGGTTGCCAGTTCCCGCTAAAACTGAGCAACGACTGGTACTGTACGCGATAATATATTCCTAGAAAATGATATTGTCTCAGCCAGAGTCTGAGTGTACGAGGCAGTGTGAAATGTCAGTACATAAGCCAACAGACTTTCTCAGACATGATTTGTAACCTCCACAGCGGGATTTGCGTCGGCCAGCCGACCGTGCCTAGCGTTGGCGCGCTTCCTTTCACTACTGTCTTTTTTTGTTTCCAGTTCCCACGTTGGCTGAATCTATATTGTACAGTAGTGGCATTGATTCCCTCCAACGAATTGGGGAGAGGAGGGCTAGACCCAACCGCCAGGGAGGATACGGATGGGGCGGAGGTTGAGTTACATGAAACTAGGAATCCCTTTGGTTTACCCAATACAATTCCGACTATGCTGACAACCACCTTTTATTATTCACCAGTCCAACTTCCCCTGGAATGGAATGTTGCCCAAAGCCTAGAGGGAGGCGGTGAGCCCGAGACCATGGGAAGGAGAGGTTGATCAATAGGGGAGATCGCACACGTCGCCTGCGCTGGAATGCACGGGCCTTGCCACCGTCAAGGTCCAGCCCCACCGAATGGTGCCCTTAGGGGAATACCAGCCCGTACCGCTCTGAAACGTAGTGAAGCGCACTCTTTCCTCTGCTTCTGCAGCCAGATCTCCTGCACCATCCATGAGTGTGTGTTCCATTCCCTGTGCCTCCCAGTCCACGCCTGGCTGACATTCATAGCTTACTACTGTGAGTTGCTGAAAACAAGACCGAGGCAGAAGTATCAACGAGACCGAGGCGAAGGTCAAGGCGCTCAGCGACTATATAGGGACCTTCAGCAGCCAGACTAGGAGCCTTCAGCTTTCCGCAATCCGTGTGCTCCTGAAAGGCAGGCGACACATTCCGCACCGCGGAACCTCCGTCTGCGTTTGCCCCTTTCGTGTCCACACCTGTTCCTATCGACTGCCATCTTCGACGTCACTGGCGCTGACCTGATGCCATCTCGTCGCCACGGACTAGGCTTCTAATTACAGACCGTCGCTGCGTCTCGAGTCTCAACTCGTTCGCTCACAGCGCCTTACAACAGTGGGTCTCGCTCAGAGAGCCGTCCAGTAGTTTCCAGTTGTATAACATTTCTTTGTCCAATAGCAGCAGCAGCAGCAGCAGCAGCGGGACTGAACACCAGCAGCAGCGGAAGCTGCACGTTACCGCAGCGATGGTCCGAGCAACAGAATAGTAGGCTCCCCTCTCCCGTCGAATCTAGATTGACCAGACTTTTCCAATTCATCGAATTTTATCGTGATGTTACCCCGAGGCTGTCGTCTGACCCTGTCGATGCCCGATTCTGTTATGTGGTGTTCATATTCTCTCTCCCTTGTGTCCTACTGCGTGCCCTTCGTGCCTTTGGGTGAATTCATGATTGCGATTGACCGTGATTCGTCATTGTGCCTTTGCGTGGCTCTGAACTGTTTGTTCTCGTGTGACCTGCATGTTATGTCGTGAATGACTCCTTCGGTTGGTAATGTTTCCCGCTTTCGGCCTCCTCGCCATCACTTGCTGTCATCGCCTCCTCTCATTCACGGCAACCCCTTCTTGGAATGATGTCGTCGCGTGACACGTCGCTCGCACCATCCGTCGCATGACGACTCCCTCTGCGACGTCAATCAGTCGCATCACAATGCCTGTTTCGCTAGAAGAGGTGAGACGGGGCTAAGAGAACTGGTGGCTTAGAGGGGGAAATGGCAGGGAAAGTTCAGGAAACGCAGAGTTTCAAGACGATTCCGCTGACGTAGCTTGGCTCCGGCATGACTGCTGGATGGATAGCACTAGGGGTACTGGTACCGCTGGATGGATAGCGTTAGGGATACCGCTGGTGCTGCATAGGGCAGACGTACATGCATTCGCGCATGTTTCTGTGGAATTTCACAAATTGGACACCTCCACCCCTTCGTACCCCCTCCTTCCTTCCCCCCCCTCCTCCCCCCCCCCTCCAAGTACCGCATCGGACAGACGTACATGCGGTCGCGCATGTATTTATAAGATGTCAAGAGTCCAACATCCCCACCCCTTCCCGCATCTCCTTCCCCCCCCCTCCCAATCTCCCCCCCCCCCCCCTTCCTTCCTCTCCCCCCCTTTCCCCCTCAGTACCGCATAGGGCAGACGTACATGCGGTCGCGCATGCAGATGGAGAACACGCGCGGCAGCGAGGGCGTGGAGGTGCGCGCGTCGCACCCCTTCGCGGACGACCGCATGGGGCACGGGCACTTCGCGCACGTGGTCTACCACTTCCACAGCAAGGCGCCCGCGTGGCTGCGCGCGCTCGCCCCGCACGGCGCGCTGTGCCTGGAGGAGCAGAACTGGAACGCGTACCCGCACAGCAAGACAGGTATGCTCAGTCATGCCGTACGCACAGATGAAACAAAACGGGCGATGGGAGAAAGGCTGACTTAGAAGTGTCTGGTTCCCCTCTATTGCTGCATGCTCAGCTGTCATTGTGGCTTAGTGGTGCCATGCAGCCTTCTCTGCCATCTAATCCATCGCTCCCTTACCTCTCCTTTCTCCTTCCCTTCATGCCTCCCCATCCCTGCCTGTGTTCTGTCATGTGTCAACTCCTCACGTGGCCCCCCTCCTATGCGATATGCCACTGCCTTGCCATGACGCGGTGCCGTTTTGCGATGCAACATCAGTCCTCAAGGTGTGCGTTCCCATTGCCCATCCATCCATAACGCAAACCTTTTCTTTGACTCTGACGTCCTCGTATTGCTGCCTCATCCCGTGCACCAATCCCCTCGCAGTAGTGCATCCAAGCACTTGCCATTCCCTCAACAGCTCTCTTGCTCTCACTCAATCGCCTCTGCCCCTCTCCCTCCTCCCATTCCCATGCCCCTGCCAGTGCCCGTACTTCACCAAGTTCACCATCACCATCGAGTCCATGCACGTCGCCGATAGAGGCGACTCTGAAAATGTGAGTCGGCGTGGCAGGGATGCATATATGACATATGGATGCTGGACATGAGGGATTCATGTGAAGCTCAGGAGGCATGGAAGGGCTCAGCGAAGCACGATGGAACGGGCCACGTTGACTGAATGGTATATAGGCACACATTCACTGTCATTCCTCCACTTCTCACTTCCCCCACCCCCCATAATTACCCTCTTCTCCCCCGTTCTCCCCTTCTTCCTCCCCCGCCAGGCGCTGGGTCTGGACGAGGCGCAGTTGAAGCAGCGCAAGGTGGAGCGGCTGGACATCGCCAGCCATGACAGGGACATGTGGAGCCGCCTCATCGCCAAGTCGGGCATAGACCCCTCCAAAGTCACACTCACGAAAACCAATCGCGGGCCGCTCACGCCAGGCTGGCAGGTCAGTACTGCTGAGCCTTCGGGCGCACTTCTATGGCAGTGTTGCTCCCATCATGCGTCGATCATCTTGCACTGCTCATAGCCTCTCCTTCCCCCCCGCCCCCCTTTCTCCCTGGTGTTTCACCGTTGCATGCCTCTGGGCAGTCAACATGTGAGCCAGTCATGACGGCATACAAGATGGTCACAGTGGATGCTCCGTATTGGGGCTTCGGCAAGAGACTAGAGCTCCTTGTACTCGCTGTAAGCTCCTATCTTTGCCTGGCTCCAACGGTTCGCTCCCCGACCAATCGGTGTCCATTGCATCTTCTCTTGACACAACATTGCAGACCGCATTGCCTATGCCCCTGACATTCACAACCCCTGTGTGCTGGCAGGGCGAGAGGGCTCTGTTTCTGGAGGCGCACCGCAAGTGCTTTGGGTGGATGGACGAGTGGTGCGAGCTCACAATGGAGGACGTGCGGCGCATTGAGAAGGAGAACATCGAGGCCATGCGCAAGGTCAGTGCTAGGCTGCACTCTTCCTCACATATTAGGCGGACTGAATGAGTGACTGCCCAGTGGCCAGCCTCTGATCATGTCCCTCCCTCCCCGTCTTCCACGTTGCAACAGAACCTAGCTCTCAACAATAAGGTGGCGCCAGATGAGTTCAACGAGGATGAGTTGAGACCTGAGGTGGATGGCAGCCTTGATGACGCAGACAGCAGTGGCACTGAGCTGGCAGATAGCCCCAAGGGTAAAGGTAAAGCTGCAGAGGGGAAGGAGATCGCTGTATGAGTTCTTTGTTGCAGCAGTTCTCTTGTAATTACGTATTGCTGAGTTGATGATGTGTGCTAAGTCCTTTGAAATACGGTAAAGCTATCCTTGCTGGTTGAGATCCTGCTTCTTGCAGCTCAATAAAGTCACTTGAATAATGCGCACACCACCATTTGCAGAGCACCATGACAGCAAGATAATTGATAATTTAGTCCATCTGGGCAAGATTCGTTCGGGTCTTGATGCCCAAGCAGAATCAGAAGGACATTCCTATGGTCAGGACCAGGGCTTCAGATTGGATTTTGAGGGGCTGTTGGCTCAGGGTGGCCCCAGAAAGAGCCCCCGTTTTTCAGGGTCGGGTTTTGGAAGTTGCAAATGTTTTCAGGGTAAAAGTTTTCGAAGGCTGAAAAATCAGGACTGAAATATTTCAGAGCTGAGATGACAGGTTGAACCTTGGCGTTTCTTTAGGGTGGGTAGGATTTTAACCTAGCACATTATGTTACAGGGCATGTTTTGTCAGACCAAAAAGAAAATTAAGTCTGACCTGACCTGACTCATCAGCAGGCCTGACGTTTCAAAAAAACCCCCCCTGAGCTGTCGACAAAAAAAAAAATACCCTGAGGGCTCACTTTTCAAAAAATGCCTACCCTGATTTGTAAGTGTTCAGAAATCTGGGACCCTGAAAATCCCAGGGCTCACCGAACGCGTTCAGGGTTGCCTTCAACACGAGGGGGGAATAAAAAATTGGGGGAAAAACGGGAGGGAATCAAACCGAGGGGAGGGGGAGAGCGAAACGGAGGGGAAGGGGGAGTATGGAAACATAGGGGAGAGAGAGGAAGCGAAACGGGGAGGGAAAAGGGGGAGGGGGGGGGGGGGTCGAAATACAGTAGTGAGGAATGGGAGAAGCAAAACGGAGGGGAAGGGGGTATCGAAACGGAGGGGAGGGGGGAATCGAAACGGAGGGAGAGGGGGGGATCGAGGCGAATGGGGCAGTGGCAGAAACTGTTAAAATTATATAAGTCATAATTTAATATAGGCTTGGTTGGTTGTTACTGAACCTTTCTGTAAAGGGTACAATCCCCTCCTTGTACTGCTCTCTCTTCCTAATCCCAACTCTTCTTTCTCGTCAACTACTCTCCCCCGCTCCTAGATCTACTTTCCTCACGCCATTCCATAGCGTCCTTCCTTGCTTCCTAGCTAAGCTAGGTTCCTAAGTTTAGTTAGTGTCGTAAGCTTCTTTGATAGAAACCTCCCGCGCTTGCAGCGCTATGGGCGAATTGAGTACGTTAATCATACGCGTAACGCGATCATCTAACGGCTGAAAATTGTCGAAACGTTCGCGATTGATCGTGGCCGTCGAAGTTGATGGACTTTCAGTTGACCACACGGGCAATAACAAAAGTGAATTTCTTTTTGTGCTATCACTGCCTATCAAGACTTAGCTAATTTTTGTGGGTTGTTAGTGACGTGTGCCCCCGCCCAAAATCACCGCCCTCCCCAATTCGCTCCCCCAAATCTCGCCCCACACCTCTCAAAGCCTGGTACATTCGAGAACTGCCTTGCTGGAAGCCGGGGTTATGTTTGGCTCGGCTCTGGTTTTACAGGGGTTTTTCCAGATGGGCCCAAATCGTCTGAGCTAGCAAAAAAACTAGCTCAGGTCGCGCAAATCTGAGCCGTTAATGGCTGCCAACCGATGAACCGCTGAGAAACATCGAAATGATCGCGCTCGATCGTGACCGTCAAAATTTGGTGGATTTTTTTGGGGGAACTGGGGGCCTGGGGGAAATTCCGAAATGAACCAATGCTGCTAGAAAACATCAGTTTGGCTAAACTGAGCGGGGAGGCGAAACGGAGGGGGCACGAGGATCAAAACGGAGGTGAGCGGGGGGTAGACATCGAGGGGGATGTCTACGAGAGTGTGGGAGGGGGAATGTTTGTCTGTACAACAGGACTTAGACAATTTTTTGTTGAGGAGAGTGCTACTCTGGCTACTAGGACTTAGCCGATTATTTGTGGGTTGTTGTGGGTGTAGGGGGGGGGGAATGTCAACCATAGGACTTAGCCAATATTTGTCAATTTTTGTGGGGTATGTAGGGGGAATGTCTGTACAATTAGGGCTTGGCCAATTTTTGTAGGTTGCTGTGTGTGTAGGGGTAATGTTTCTAGAGATTGGGGACATCGCCGAAATTTCAGGTCTGTGAGGCACGTGGAATCGCATTCAGGGTTCGTACGCGTTGCTCCCTGAAAACTCAGTATTGGCATAACGCAATCCCTGAAATCTCAAGTGTTCAGAAACTCACAACCCTGAAGCGGCTAGGGTTAAGAAAACTCCAACCCTGAAAATTAAGGGTTGGCCAAAGAAATACCCTGTGAAATCAGGGAATCAGGGTAAAATACCCTGATAACGACAGCCTTGCTCATCAGGTAGGTACATTTTTTAGGTTTCTGAATCTGATTCTTAGATCAGATCGGACTTTACTACGTACATACAAATTTACCAGAATGAATAATTGAACTAGAATGTGTGAGTACAAGGGTATATAGACTAGGGTGTTGTACCCTCTAAGGCACAATCCAGTATAGTCTACAGTAACGACCTAAGTTACATTTGACACACCCCTAAGACTATATAGGGGCAGTGCCTAATAGGGAAAGACGTAGCTCAGGGCGGCACTACTAGTCCAGCCTCTGAGGCAAGGGTCTAAAGACCAGTCAGAGGAGTACAGACAAGACAAGAGCAAGACCAGGGGGGCACTACTAGTCCAGCCACTGGGAGAGGCCACAAAGCCAGTCAGGGTAAAAAATATATATAAAGGACAGTACAAGGTCAAGGCCCTAGCAAGTGAGAGGCTACAGGAACGAGACCTAGCTGTACACAGTGCCGCTGATGATCTTTAGGCGCAATCGCCGTCGTCAAGTTATCAGCTGTGTTGGCACCGGAGGCCAAGTGTACTACGCGCGCCTGGCGGCGCTGCTAGAGCTCACGCAGGAGGAAGTACCACAGCTGGATATGCTTCGCTCTGCCCTCGAGTCGAGGCTCCTGACACAGGAGGATCATGGCCCTGTTGTCAGCGTACAGGACCGGGGCAGAGCTAGGCCGCTCACCTAAGTTAGTGAGCAAGAAGGTCAGCCAGCGGAGCTCCTGTGCCGCCATGGCACCGGCGTAATCTCGGCCTCACTGCTGGACTGGGCAACAGACGAGGAGCGGGTAGCTTTCCACGAGACGGCGCCTGAACCAAGGCTGAAGCAGTAGCCCTGTGAGGACCTGAGGGTCTCGGCACCGTCTGCCCAAGAAGCGTCTGTGTGTCCAGTAAGGACCACTGGCCTGCGTCCTCCTAGCAATAGCCCCATGCCCGATGTACTTGCAAGATAACGCAAAACTCTCTTAGCGGCAGACCAGTGCTGAGGTCGGTTTCTGCCTGGAGCCACAAAGCGAGCCAGGATGCTGAGAGGGTATGCGAGATCTGGGCGAGTGCAAGTCATCAGGTACATGAGGCAACCAACCAGCTCTGCGTAAGGACCACTGGGGTCTGCTAACTCCTCAGGAACTGGAGCCGAGAGCCAGTGGTCTAGAGGCAGAGGAGTGGGCAGTGCGGAGGAGAACTGAAGGCCGAACCTCTGAAAGACCTAGCGCACCAAGTGTGACTGAGTCAAAGTGATGGTGCGCGCTGCTCTGTCCCTGGAGATCTGCAAGCCAAGGTAGTGGCGCAGTTCCAAGGTCAGTGCAGGTGTGTCTCTTCAGCAGCTCTGCCTTCATGGAGGCCAGTGCGTCCCTGTCTGCTGTGGCGAAGACCACGTCGTCTACGTAAACAAGGATGTAGAACGGGGTCTGGCCAGCACGAACGAAGAGCGAGGGGTTTGTAGAGGACGGAAAGAACTGCAGGTCAGCAAGCGTAGCACGCAGCGTGTCGTGCCACTCACGCTCAGCAGACGAGGGATCAGTAGACCGTGCAGCGGGGGGGTCAGGGTAGGGGAGAGTGCCGTCAAGATGGATAGACAGAGAGTGGCCATCCTGCTGCTGACCAGTAAGGTGGCGACGGAGGTTAGCAAGCCACGCATCAAACTCAATCGGCTGGCCCTCAGCGTCAAAGTGAAGCACCTCCGCCATCAGTGACAATAGAGGGCAGTGGAGAGCAGTACAGTGCGGTGCAGTGCGGCGCAGTGCGATACAGTGCGGTGTAGTGCGGTGCGGCGCGGTGCGGTGCGGTGCAGTGCGGCGCGACGGCCAGGGGGCCGGCTAGGAACGGGGCAAGACGGCGGCTAGGGCCTAGGGGCGGAAGCGTGGGCGGGCTAGGGGGGGACCTAACCTACTATGATACCATATCAGAATGAATAATTGAACTAGAATGTGTGAGTACAAGGGTATATAGACTAGGGTATTGTACCCTCTAAGGCTCGATCCAGTATAGTCTACAGTAACGACCTAAGTTACATTTGAGAAAATTCTCACACTACTAGCGTGATTTTGGCCAAGGACCAGTCACGTCCCTCACACCTGCTCCAACTCGCGTCAGACTGCCTGCGTGATTTTGGCGAAGGACCAATCACGCCCCTCACCTCTGCTCCAACTCGCATTTCCTGCGTGATTTTGCCTAAGGTCCAGACACACCCCTCACACCTGCTCCACCTCACGTCAAATTGCCCGTGTGATTTTGGCGAAGGACCAATCACGCACCTCACAAGTGCTCCAGCTTGCGTCACCTGCGACATTTTGGCGAAGGACAAGTTACGCCCCTCACAACTGCTCCAGCTCGCCTCGACCAGTCAGATAGGATTCTGTTTCAGGCTGGAAATCCGTTAAGGCTGATAATTCAGGGTGACCAAAACAAGAACATACAATATTTCAGGCCTGCTCAAATGACAACCGCTAAAATTCAGGCCTAGGAAAAATCAAAAGCTGAAAAAACAGGACGACCCTAAAAAAACACCCTGATATACAGCATTTCATGGCATTTTGTCCTGACTTCTGAAGCCCTGGTCAGGACATACCGTATCCACCAGGGCTGACGTTTAAAAAAAAATCCCCCTGATCTGTCGACAAAAAAAAAAAAAAAACCCTGAGGGGTCTGGTTTCCAAAAATGCCTACCCTGCGTCTAGGTCACCCCGCCCTCCAGCGCCTGCGTCACATGTCACAGCACGGTCTTGTCCTAGGTCTCCCAGGGT